AAATGTTGTATCATGAGAGCCTGGTTTGGAAAAGATAAATAAAATAAGGGTAATGTGACTGCGATGGACTGGCGACCTGTCAAGGGTGCACCACGCCTCTTGCTGTAGACAGGTGGAGATAGGCACCAGCACCCCTCATGACCCCGCTTGAGATAAAGCGTGTCAGAAAATGGATGGATGGATGGATGGATGGTAATATGACTTTCAAATTGAACTTAGAAAATTAAGCTAGAAGGCTGGTTGTGTGGAAGTTTTGAGAACCCGAATGCAGAGAGGAGTAGGCACAGATGAGTTTGGATGATTTAATGAAAGTCCAAGGGGAACAGAGGCAAAAATACAAAATACAAAAACACTGAAAACCAAACAAAAAACAATAATCGTCAGGGAAAATACTTGAGCGAAGCAAGAGACTAGAAGTCAACAAAACAAACATCTACAACACACAAGAAACCAGCCCTGAGTGAAGGCTCTGCAGCTCTTTTAAGCCCAGCACTCTGATTAGAAACATTATCTTTACCAGTGTAGACTACACAGGTTCTCCCCAAAGATCCTCTCTGAAGGGAGATGCATATCTCGCACTGACTAATACACAAGAAGCCTGACAGGTTGTACAGTAAGTCCTACGTTTTATTTTAGGTATAATAATTTGTTGCATTTTTTTCCCCCAATAATTTCTTAAATGCACTTTAATGCGTCCTTATATTAGTTGATTTTTTCCTCCCCGTGTGGTCATGTCCCTAGATCTTAGGGGACAGCTTGCTTTGGTGCTCATTAATAAATAAAGGTGTCCTTTTTTGCCTTTAGCAGATGTTGGCAGGTGGTGTAGACTTCTAATATTCTGTTTCATTTAGATCAAGTATACTGAGGTCATCAAAATCTTCAAAGATATAACAACAAGGAGGATACTCCTTTAAAGAAGTAGAAAGAGAATGATATAGATATTGATGTTCCCCCAAGATTTTGAGCTAAATATAGTCAAAACCAAATCTTTGATCTCTATTTTTCTCAGATTTTTTAACTGAACAAGCTGAATCAGCTAATTCAGTGAAATGATGGCCTATAAAACGCTGTCTTTGGTATCACACAAGAAACCTCTCATGATAGGTAACAGTAAAGAGCTTTCTCAAGACCTTTGCAACATTATTGTTGCAATTGATAATGGCATTGGTTACAGAAGGATTTCTAAACTTCTGAATGTTCCAGTTAGCACTGTTTGGGCCATAATCAGAAAGTGGAAATAACATCATTTCACCATAAACCAACCACGACCAGGTGCTCCTCCCAAGATTTCTGACAGAGGAGTGAAAAGAATTATCAGTCATACATCAGGATCAAGTCTATTTGTGACAGATGATGGAGCAAAATGTGTTTATCTATAAAACCAGATGAGCCACACAGTAAGATAAACATGGGGAAAATAAAATGGATCTGGTTAATTTTAAAAGTAAGAGGTGATGCACTGACACCTGAGGACTCCTGCTTTGATACTTTTTGAGGTCGATGTCATGTGGTGATATAAGTGAAGCGGGCTTAAGAATTAAACTAGCCAGGTGCTGTTCCCTTACTTCCTATAGCACATACAAGCCTTTTAAAGAGAATATTTGGCATACAACAACATTTTTATGTTCTTGTCATAACTTTCTCTTACTTTTTCTCCTACTGTGGGCTCTTAAAACGCACCACATCAGATCCAACAAACTTAAACTTAACTTCAGTCAATGATCCTCTTAAACCTGATGCAGTCCACCTGCGCGCAAGTGAGCGCTCGTCCCGAGAAATGTTAATCTGCATAATTAACACTCCAATAATCCATATAGGCTATGACTTCCCATACTTCATTGACAGAAATACCTGTGAAGAAGAAGAAGAGAAGAGACTCCACCAGTTTGGAGATCGAGGTTCAGCTGACTAAGAATTGAACAGCATTTTTGGTTTGAAGGATCTGTTAAAAGCCAAGCACTGGCAAATAAATCAGAAGGGCTGTAAATAAGGAACGGGCACATGACGTCACACGTTGCGCGGCAGCCATATTGAAAGCTGGTCAGCCCATTGTTTACACTTCGACTTCGCGCCTGTAAGGACTTGCTTTCTTCTGCTAGTAGTTTGCTTAGTTTTTTGCCGTTTCATTTTACCTCTGCTGTCGTTATGGTCACCCGTTGCTGTGTCGTAGGGTGTAGTAGCGCAAGCTGTGACTGGACGGGGGAAAAAATCCCAAATGGATTGTCTTTTTACCGTTTTCCAACCTGGAGGCGTCTCAATAGAAAACAAATGTCCTCCATAACAAAGAGTCGCCGGCTAGCATGGGTCGCTGCTGTAAGACGGCCAAATATAACTTTCAACTCAATCCCAGTGTCCATGAGAGTGTGTTCCCGGCATTTTCATTCTGGTAAGTTACAGAACATACATACAACATAGTACCATGGTAGGACAGTCATATATCATCAGAATGTAACTACAGTATCCCAGGACACGTACAGTCAGCACAAGATTTGTTTAGATACATTTTTGATGTTTTACGTTAGTGCCTGCACCTAGTCTTATCACCACAACAAACACCACACCATGTTGATACGGTAGCTTACCTTGGATCTAATGACTGTGTTCTCATTCGGTTTGATTACTTCCATGTCGTGAACTTTTCCATCTGTCAGCTGTTTGTAAGCCTCTAGCGACTTGTAGCAGCGAAATTCTTCATGTGTGTAGGCACTGACGCCACACACTAGATAGGAAAATATGTCCTCCCTCGCAAACGGCGGTAGAAATTCTTCCCCAACGCACCACTCCTTGCTTGCTACTTCGTAGGGATCAAGTCCGTTTATGAAGCCCATCTTTTGCAGATAACGGTCCCTGGCTTCCCTCTGCAGTGTGTCTCGGTATATTCCGCATCCTTTCTTCGCTTTTAACATCGCTGTTTACTCGTCTCTGTCCTGTTTTAGGTCTTTGTTTACCGTAGCAACTAGCTGTCAATATGGCGGCGTACCCAGAATGCAACGCGCTGTGCCCGTCCCCTATTATGTTTTGCTGTTACAGAAGTAAAAATAAAGTAATTTGATCATAGGGCTGGGCGATAATTCAATAACGATATATATCGATCGATAGACATGTGGCGCAATAGAAAAAAAGAGGGTCGATAAAAGTTCGATAAAAAAGAAACACAGTTTTCCTTCCTTCTCATTGTAGCCTAGCATGTAGGTTTATGCTAGTCACTGCTTCCTCCCAACCAATCACAATCGCGGACCCAGTCATGCCGTCACCAAGCGCCGCCCTCTCAAACCACAACACAGAGCACATGAAGATGTGGAGCAAGGAGAGGCGGAGGAAATTGTTTCAAAGAAGGGTTTTTGTAGTTCGGCAGTCTGGCAGTATTTCGGTCATGGCAAGTCGGACCAAAAACAAACCACAGTCATCTGGAAAATGTGTCGGGAACCAGTGAAAACAAAGTCTGATAACACAACCAACATTTTTTTTTTTTATCATCTCAGCCGCTCACACCCGCAGGAGTACGAGCTGTGTAGGCCCCGACGCGGCTCTCCTCCGAGGAATCTTCGGAAAATATATATATATTTTCAGTTCTGGGCAGTTTCCCACGTAGTTCTAACAATTGAGATAAAAATGCTGAGGGGCCAGCAACTTCAAAGTAATAACTCAGGTTAAAGCAGGGAACGGGGGCGGCGGTGGGGGGGCATTTATTTATTTGTTATATTTATTTTGGTCACTTTTCTGGTCACTTTAGTTTATTCTTTGTCAGTATTTAATAACATAACTCAGGTCTCTTAAATTATTTTTCTTTAAAACAATTCTGTTATGGTTAAAAAAGTTGGTTAAATAAAGATTTAAGATTGAAGTCTGTGTTTGTGTTTTTTATTAAACTTAAATCATTTAGCAATATTATAAAAAGTCCAGGCAGAGCTGCACATAAAATATGGTTTCAAATCTTTTCAATAATTATCGATATCGATCAATATGCATTTTTTTTTATCGATAAGCTTTTTTTCTATATCGCCCAGCCCTATTTGATCAAACCCAAACATTCTACATTTTATGTAATAGCAGAGCCAGGGAACTGCCATAGAGTGAAATAAAAGCAAGTCTTACCATTACAAGAGCAAGTTGCTGAACTTTATTCAGAACTTTCTATCATTTTCATTTCCAGATGTTATTTCAATAGTAGCTTGATCTCACATAGAGCTCACTGACTGTTCTGTCTTTTTCTGTGATGACAACAAATTCAACCAGTGTCCCCTTGATACTGGCAGCTGCAGGTGTAGTGACCGATAGTTGAATAAAAATGTAATTTATAATTGCAGAGTTAAATTATATATAATGATGTAGCAAAGTAAAATGGAAAATTACTTCTAAGTAGCATCAAATGTATTAAGTGAAAAACAAGGTTTGGATAACAGCTGATTGATGAAAAAGACTTCTACTTCAAGTCTGGAGCTCTCGTAAAATGTATTCTTACCTGGGAGAAGATAAGAATTAGGAAAGAAATGGTGAATTCTGCTTTTTATCCTAAATCACTCATACAAGCCCTTGTTTTATAAGAACACTTCTGGCATGACGTCCAATGTGATCAACTGTACCGCCATCTCAGTCTACTGAGATCTTACAGAAAAAGTACATCAGAAAACTCAACTTAAACAAAACAGTCTAAGCACAGGTCAGGGTCTATAGTCAATATCTATCTCCATTGCTGCCTTACTTTCTAAGGGGTTAATCAACCATATTCAGAAATGTGATAAATTAAAAATGCCAATACAAAGACAATTGAGTCTAAGGTTGCACTAAAAGGTGCATTTAATCTATCATTTACTCTGTCAACTTAAATGTGAAATAAACCACTGATCTTTTATACTGTGTCAAGAGTTGAAACAAATCTGCAGTGCTAATTAATCAAGTAAATCAAGGTGCATGGAAACTTTTGCAAAGGCACAATACCATCTAATCTAGTGTCTATTACCATTGCTCTTAGACTCTGATACATATCAATCATCTTTCAGATCGACAAAAATGCCAGGGAGGATTTCAACTTGACATCTGATGTGGAATTTAACAATATCAAATCGATTACTCTGGGAAGATTGTCAGGTAGGTGAAGTTATCTTTAAGCCAATTTTAGTACAATGCAACCCTGTTGCCCTTGAGGCTTCTGATCTTTTCAGTTTTGTGTGATGGATGAGATGTGCAGGCTGGGTAACGGAGGAGAAACTTTTACAAACATAGTATTTTTTGTGTTAAAAAATGTTTAAGATTGACATGTCCCCTCAAGATACTCAAACATGTAAAATAGCAATATAAGAGAGAATACAGTTCCTTCTGTTCTAAATCAACTTTTAGATGACAAGGCATTCTTAAACTTCAAGTATCTCTAACTTTGTTTTGTTTAAACAAAGAGGTAAGTTATCATGTCTTAATAACTAATAGATATATTAATGCCATGTAAATTCAGAAGATAAATCAGTCAGTCTCAGCTGCAGTGATTGGAGTTAATTTAAACCAGACAGTGTAGTTAAACCTCTTCTTGCATGGGAGAACAATCTACTTTCAGGATAATGTTTTCCACTATAGTATGGCTGACTGGTTTGTGCTGATTTAAATGAGGGTTTTGTAACAGCTGAGATGGTCCCCACTTCCAAGAACTAATAGACACACGAACAATAAAACAACACTGTGGGCATAAAAAAGAAGAACTTTCTTAAAAAAAAAAAAAAGAAAAAAAAAAGCTTTTCTCAATATGACAATAACAGAAATAAAGATTTGTTAACATTTAATGTACTAGTATAGTACTTTTAATTGCATTTATATTCTTAGATTTTCTAATGTGTTTTTGCTTGTATAGTGTCTTTTTAATATTTTTATCTTATTCTTATCGCTGTGACTCTGAGCGTTTTTGCACAACAATTCCAGTGCCCCTGACTGCTGGTTAACACCTTGAAGAAAATGAAAATAATTTAACATTATTGACATATTGTGCTATCTAATCTGCTTTAGAAAGCCACTGATTATCTAAGATCCAAATTAATGTGGTAAAATAAATGTATTATGAATAGATTTTGAGCAAAGGTTTACAATGTATAAAGAAAAAAACATGATTTAGCGTCAAATTTTCTCACCTTTTCTTTTACAAACTATCTTGATTATTTATTTTTGAGTGCATATTTTACTTGTTTTCTTTTTTGTCTTGCGCTCATTTAGGTCCCGTTAGCATTTGACCCTGTTATTACCCTACATATATAGATATATATGCCTACATATGAATGTTAAATCATAGCTGCTTTACATAGGCTTCAAAATGGTTCATGTGCTGTCAGACCTCTGCATGTTGTATCAGTTCAACTAATGGACAAACAGACTGAAACACTCGGGGAAAGAGAAAGGATGTAGGTTAAGTGCCAATGACCGTGTTAACACATTCTAAACATTTATTACATATTTTATATTTATTAAAAATATTTAGCTCATTTATAAATATTCTCACTTTGATTACTTTACTGTAGAGCCAAAGATAATTTGCATTTACTTAGCAAATATGGTATCACTTCAGTTAGAGATAATTATATATTGACCGATTGTCATAGTGAGTCAGGCCTGTGTGCATGCATACCAACTGAGGCATTATTTCTCTTGAAATTAGAGTAAAAAGAATCTAAGGTTGCAGGCTCGCTTGCACTTTTATGGAACACAGTTGGAACAAGTAACAGAAAAATGTAGAAAGTGTTATAGATATAAATCAAATTTTATGATTTACAACCTGATAAATCAGCACAATGCTACAAACGTTGCTATGAGTAATTAGATGTATGGATCAGGGGGAAAATAATTTTCTGTCACTCAAAGATCTATCTGCAATTTTAAATTTTAAATAAAAACTGATTAAGTGTTTGCTGCAGCCAGTTTATGCTGCATTGTCATATTTATGTATGGCATATATTTTTCTCTCTGGTAATAAGTTAGCTTCTTGGCAGAGTTGTGCTGTGTAATCAAATTGCTGAGCAGGAATAACTGTGGTTCACTCTGACATTTATACATCTGCAGAAGCTGCTTGATATAAAGTATATATTTTTAACTTACAAAGATATTAGTTCTAACTAGTTCTCATTAGTTGTATCTTTAAAAGCTATTCTGAATAAAAATTGTTATTTTTAATGTCAATGTTAAATATTGCATATAACTGCTTTACAAAAAAAAACTAACTGATGTTTTAACTGTATAAACCTGTTTTCTACATTCTTTTAATTACAGGTGTTGTTCTGGAGTTTAATTTCTAATTTCTTGGTGACATTGTTCTATAGCCAAAAACTGCTGTGTTTACATCAAGATTGACAACAGGGGATAAAATATGAATTTGTTTTTATCTGCTGATTAATGCATCCAGCTTAGTTTATCACTTTTTATTCTTTATTCCATTTGTGTTCTCTAAAGTATTAATGTTATGGATAGGACAGCTTGTCACCTTTGTTAATACTTTGCAGTAAAGGATAATCAGGCTCAGGCTATTTAGCCCGGTGAATGTTTACACAATTAAAGCAGTTTAACAATGTTTAAAGAGGATCAGTCAAATGATTAATATAGTGTACTCTGACTCTAGTTTTAATCTATCCTTTTCTTTGTTTTAAAGGTAAATTACTTATAATAAGTAACTATTAAAGTTGTGATATACAAGCTTTCCAAGCTGCAGAAATAAAATATATATCACCCTCCTAAATATGTACATAGTTGAAGATTATGGAACTTACTATTTTATAATACATTAAATAGGGTGAAAGGGTTTTTATTAAACTTGTGGTCAGTTTTGGCCTAGTGGTTGGCACAGTGTGCTTGTGCTCTGAGAAGGTTGCAAGTACCTGGTTCGATCCCCACATCCTCTACTCTGAGTCCCTGAGCAAGACCCTTAACCCCACACTGCTCCCCGGGCGCCCCACAATATCAATCCACTCCTCCCCAAGGGGATGAGTTAAATGCAGAGAGTGAATTTCGTTGTTTTGTACTTGTGATGGTGTAATGACAATAAAGTCGAATTCTATTCTATTTATTGAATACAGAGAAAACTGAACATGATGGTGTCAATGGCAAATTACCCCCTAACTATTTTATAAAACATTTTCCAATAATGGGTGTACAAAATCTATTTATTTTCATTGAAATAATAGATTTTTCTAAGATAATAAATCAATAGAACACCTAGGGTGGTGCAGAATAAAAGTTTAAATTTTACCCAAAAGAATATATTAATAATTGTTTATAAATGTTGGGGTCTAAAATATATAAATATCTAGGGATAGTATGTTAAAGTGAAGTGACGCAGAACTCAGGTGTTGCCAGATCCTCGCAACTGGCTGGCAAACAGTGCAGAAGGAGAGAGGGCGAGCCTGAGTGGGCCACTAACTGGTCAGTAGGAGTTAAACATATAGCTATTACCTTTACTCTGGATTGGAATGGAGGGAGTGCCCTCTGAAATGCATTCTACCTTTTATTGGTTCACATGTAAACATATGAAATTCATATATGATAAACTTTATAAAATAAACCTTACTGAAATTTGTCACTTTAAATGTTACAGTATAGAACTTTGGGTTATAATCAATCAGATATGGAGATAATTTTTCTTAAGTTCAAAGGGGCATCCCACTCCCAATTCTGGAACACCACTCAGGATCAAGATTAATTATTAATTACAGATATAAAAAACAAAGCATCATAAAAAAAAATGGAGCCTAGGCGGGAGTTAAACTGAAGAAGTTTGTTGCTTTCCTACATCCACCTGCGACACAGCCAATCAGCTTTGAACCACACCTCCATAAAAGCCAATGTGCATAAAAGTTCATCTTAAAAGGCCTCCGATCCGAACTTGTCTGCTCCTGTGAGCAGACGGTGGATGCACTGTCTGACTTCATTGAGATGACCCCATTTCAACCCACCTCCAGCCCCTCCTCCACCATTGCAGCTAAAGCTTCATCAGGGTTTCATTTCTCCCGGATTCTTACTGCATTCCGCGTCTCATTTAAACCGGTCCGGCAGAACACCGCCATGTCGAGCCTGGTTCTGCCAGAGGTGCCTTCTCCACTGTCACTTCATGCTTGCTCATCATGGACAGGTTCTCTCAACCTGTGTTATCCAAGCTGGACTTCCATCTTCCAGATCCCTGAGTGGAGCCCTAGTATCAGCTCACGCAGTCCACTGGATTGCATGTAGTCTGTGCTCGCCCTTATGCCTTGCCACATCCTGGATCCTGGATCTTTCAGCTGTGGTTCTGCTTCACCGATCTGATGGCATTGTTCAAGATGACATGTGCTGTCCTCAGTGCCTCCTTATTACCAGACTTCAAAGCTGAGTTCTGTGCTTTTAGCGGTTTCCAAACCTCCCCATTCATCCACAGTCGTTGGTATGCTCAGATGGTGATGTTCTTTGGGATGCTGATGTCCTCAATTCATTTGTTGATGTATGCTGACACAGTCGTGGCATACTCATCTATATTTATTTTGTTGTCATAGGTTGCTGCAGCTTTGAACATTCAGAGCATTCAAAGCAGACTTAGAGTTTCTCCATGGCCCCCTCACATCACACTCTGATTTCTTTGTCAGTTTAGCGCTAATTAGCCAGGTTCTGTATGCAGGAATTAGCATGAAAGGTGATCTGATGACCTGAGACGGGGGCAAGGTGCTGTATTTGACAGCAGGTATATTGTGCAAAAAATGTGAATCAATCGCTTATGCAAAAAACAAAATTTTACAATGGTACTATTAAAGCATTATCGATTATAAAAGTATTAAGACTTTTCTATGTACATGCATATTAGTTGAGATTTCTTTATTATTTGGAACTGAAACTCGAGGACAGAGGCTAAGTAGTGCCTGAGTTTGATTATGCCTCATGTGGGATCAGATTCAGACACCTTCTTTCACCCTCAGGTATTCAGAATTAACAAATAAGAGCAATGTTATGCCTTGAAGTATTTGAGCTTTGGTAGAACATTATTGTCAAGTCTGGTATTTGTAATAGAAGTACAGTATGATAAACCAAATTATTGCAAAAGCATGAACTGAAAACACACATACCACATGTTAACCTTCCAATTATAAATGAACAACCTGTTTTTGAGGCAAAGATTAGCTTCATTACAGTGGAAAAATTGAGGAACTAATCTAAACTGACTGCAGTGTAATTCCATAACACTAAACTACTGAATGCATTTTGTTAAATATTAGGTAAAACTAAGTAGCAGTTAGGCAGTGATTAGTTCTTGATTAGGTTATATGAAAATTAGAAAATTTTAATGTGCCTCATAAGACCAATATTTCCTTTATTTCTTTCTTGTAAGCACCAATTCACAACACATGTCATCTCAAACAACTCTACAGAGACAGTTCAGTCCCATCATATGACACATTGGTTAGAAGTTTTCTATCTAAAGAAAACCATGTCATTGAGTCATTATCTGAAAGTCAATACTGCCTCGTTGCTTAAACTTCATCAAAGTAGTGGAAAGCTAAAGTAAATATATATAACTCTGTTCTAACATTTTCTAGTTAAAAGTTTACTGTTGATGCACCTAACATCTCCCCTATAAAATGGTCAATATTTTTTCAATCAATATTTATTTGTCAATATCTTTACCAACTATTTTATTATCTTGTTACATTTGTTATTAAAGTATAATGCTCTTGTTACCAACACTAAAAATGTATTCTTTCAATCCACAATCCTGTTGTTTATTTGAGTAATTCCATTTTTGGAAAACCTGGAAATACATTTGTAGTCAATGTTTGTATTGAAGTATCTTCGCAGCTTTTGTCTCATTATAACAATGAGTTGTGTTTTATCTGTGCTGTATTTGAAAGCTGTTATTGAATTGTGCTAATAACGAGGGTGTCTTGTTGCTTGTCTGTGTTTTCTCAGAGTCAGAAGGCCTAGACGCCAATCTTGCTGGGTTGACCAGTATTGGGTTCACAGGTTGTCTGTCGGGTGTTCGATTTAATTCCATCTATCCTCTGAAAGCTGCTCTCCTCCATCCTGACAGCCGTGTTACTGTCACAAGTCCCCTGGTACCATCAAGCTGTGCTTCATCGTCTCCAGCTGATTCCTATGCAGCAGAAACTACACATTCATTATCAGGTAAAAGGAGCATGTTTATGTCTTAACCCGATCATCAGCTTCACATCACTGGGTTTTTCTTGCCTTGGTCTCTGTCTGTTGTATTTTTAAAATTCTACTTATGGTGATTCATTAGGTTTTCTAAATGGCTCATCAAACATTCTTCTCAGGCAGAGATGGCACATCGACATATGAGTGTCATCAGACAGCTTTTGGGAAGTCCTTCAAGGCTCTACTGAGACTTTAAAAAATGTTTTTTTGCATTTCTTTCTCTCCTGTTTTAAAAGAGAAAAAGAGAAAGTATCTGTTTCCATTCGTTATATGCTGTTAAACTCTTCTTTATTTCTTTTGGTGGCCCATTTATATTTCCTATTTTTTTATCTGATTGCAGACCAACCTCACTTTGTAGATCCAGGACAGCCTTTAGTCAACACCAGTAGGAGTGATTCAGCTCTAATTGGAGGTAAAATCAATAATTTCATTGGTAATGATAATGGTTAAATTAAACTTTTTAGGATTTGTAGCAGACTTGAAGCCTGTTTTGTTTTGCCCCAAAATATTGAGAGGTCATTGTTATGCATTAGCTTACCATAAAAAAGGGTAAAATGGAAACCTAACAACGTGTCTGGAAATCAACATTATCCATCGGAAATGCACCTTGGAAAATCGAATTTCTCTACTCTACTCTCTACTCTCTACTCTAGCACTGCAATTATGCCCACCATTAATGTGATGCTAAGACATTTGTTTCCTACAGAGAATAATATCAAATTAGAAGATCAAATCTTATCAAATTAGAAGATTATGATAATATGATATATTTCAGTAATCAATTAAAAGATTAATAGATCCACTGGGTGATGGTAATACTTATTATTAACCTCTTAACATCCACCTCATTTTGGGTAATCCTTGCCTATTTTGCATACCCAAATGGAAAACCAAATAACTTAGGAACTGTAAGCCCAAATTACATGTGCAATACATTATTTGAAAGCTAACATCCTTTTCCTAATATATCAATAAAAATTGGTTGACTAGAATGCAAACAAACCTGCATCAGGTCAAACATGACTCAAAGTTTTTTTGTTTTTTTTATACTCGGAAATGATAGGTCTTTTTTGAACGGCAGCAATGAAGACATTCTTGAGAAAAAGCAGGTTTTATTGTGATATATTTGTTTTACATAATCTCAACCACAAATGCAGATAATTTCAGACCTCTAGCTATAACAGTTCCAGAGCTGTGGGGTTTGGAACTTTTGGTGTCAGCTTGGAGCTGCGCGCAATGGCTTTACCTGCTGTTAAAAAATTTACCGGTGGAATTTTATGCTTTTTAAGAGGTTAACATTTATTGAAATCCCCAAATTCCTTATTTTATTATATGTAATAAATATGTTTTTAACAAGAAAAGCACTCTGAGACTGCAGACGTCTGCCAAGCAGCATATTTTGCCCCAATTATGACCTACGCCTATAGCTAAACCTTTCCAATGATCTACATCATTACCAAATTTATATGAATTGCTTCTTGGCATGAAGCATGCCTCTGGTAAAACATTTCCATAAAATCCGTTCATAGGTTTTCAATTGATCCTGCTAACAAACCAACAACGTTCCCTTTTCTTATATCTTTGTCTTTATTTAATTACTTACGGACTTTTTGAGCCTGATGCTGAGGCTGTCCATACTTGCTTCTGCCACCCTCTGGTTTAGTGGTGCATTATTCCCAACTCACAATGTTAGATAATCTTTTTTTTAAATCCTGTATCCAGATTATGATCTGAATCCTCACCAAAATGTAATAGATTGTTCCTTGGCATAAGTGACACCTCTGATGATAATCCAACCTCTTTCATTAAAATCTGTCTATAACTTTTCTACTTTTGCCGTACAGACAGGCAAAGACACAAACTCTTATAAAAGTATAACCTTTTTGGTGAACAACCTGTCAGTTTTCCAGCAGGTGGTCAAATTCTCTAACCAATTATAATAATTAATTGTAAGGAAAAAATGTGGTAGAAAAAAGTCTTTATGAAGCATGAGGAAAGCGACAGCCTTGAGAAGATTATGAAGCATAGTCAATTAAGAATTTACAGAGGTATTGGGGGTTTCATTTGGAACTGAATTTTGCATTGTCTGAGGTAAGGAGCATTTCATTAAAATAGCTTGTAGTCATACGTCAGTGAATGCATCAGTGCAGCAGTGTCTTTTAACCCTTTTCCTCAAGGCACACTGGCGTCCAAGTTTTAGCTGTTTCCCTGCTTCAACACACCTGATCCAGCATATTGGAGTTCAGAAAGCCCTGTTAATCTGCTATCCATTGATATCATGTTTGTGAGACAAGCATTGTTTTTTTTTTTTTTTTTTGGGTTACCTCATACTAAAGGAGGCTCAACTCTTTACTGAGCTTATAATCTGTACAGCACATGTACATATTATTTAGTAGATTGAGATTTCTTTGTTAATTCTCTAGTTTGGTTCCTTTTTTCTAATGTAATATTTTCATTTAGCTGACAATCAGAATTCTGGGTTCTGTATACTCAAAATATACGTTGTTAAGTTTCTTTTCGATGTATTTCGCTTTTTTGATTCAGATGAAAATTATTTAAAGTTTTTTTTATGTTTTATGTTTTCATTGTTTAATGCTTTGAACCATTATAAATAATAAGATTTAGGAAGCTTTGATAACATTTGATTCTCTAATGTATTTTGTGTTTTTTGTTCTCAGGTGTGATTGCAGTGGTCATTTTTGTCATCATGTGTACTGCAGCGATCATGGCTCGGTTCATTTGCATCAGGAAAGAAACATATCGGAACCAGGAAGTAAAAGCAGCGAAGTCTGAGGACAGCCATGAGTTCCCCGTCAGCAGCCAGGCAGGCTCTCTAAGGGTTCAAGGCGAAAACCAGAAAGAGTTTTTCATTTAGCAACTTCCCGTAAGAGGACTGACTGGGATAAATTACAGTACCAAACAGTGCTTTACCCATTCCTCACACTTGTTATTTGTAAATATCATAGACTTTATTTGAAGATGTGTTGGACTCACCTTTTTGAGGTAAATATTTGAGCATAGTGATTTCTGTGCTTACAACTAATTAGCTTCCATTTCGAAAGTTTCTGCCTGATGGAAATAGAATGATAGATGTGGATTAATGATGAAAACTTTTGAGCTGGGGGAGATTTATAAGAACTTTTCCAAGACAAACCTTTTAAAGCCTAGCAGATTTAAGAAGCCACAACCTGCAAAAAAAATAAAATAAAAAATAAGACGAAGAAAGAAATACAGGGCCATAAAGGTATGTATATTTAAGGTTAACCTGGAACAATCCAGCGAAAGCACATTTTCAGAATCTATCTGTTATAGTTAAGAATTACTCAAAAATGTGCTGTATATATAAATACCAAATTAAAGTCATTCTTAAACTTTGTCATTGAATTCCTTAGACAGAAACCTTTTGTGCAACTCTCTTTGCTCTCTTTATATACTCTATGACAAAAAGCTTCAAAGTTAGGCTGAGATTTTCTTTTTAGATATTCTTTTTTTTATTGTACCACCTGCAGCGAGCAGCTACCATCAGAACACTCTCCGAAGCAGCTTGGAAGCAGCACGGACCATAAAACACCAACTTTCTGTCACCGTTTTCGCTTTGTAGTCATTCTATAATAATAATACATAAAAGAAAGTAAAGGTTTCCAGGGTAAACGTAAAATTGACACTTGTAGAACCAAGTAGAGTTCGACTGGGTGAATTTGTCATTCAGTTCTCTCATCAGCAACACAAATATAATGATTCACAACATTTGACATTCTTTTTCAATCACTTTAAGATTATGATGCAGAATAATAAGATCAATATTACTCATTGCAATGAGATAGATAGTTTAACTGCTTTGAAAACACCTTTTCTATGTATCAATATTTTGGTTGATATTATTAAAGCACAGATGGAGTATTAATAATATCAAGCAATTATAAAATTGTTAATCTAATTAGATGACTGTTTATTGTTAAAGGTGGAACAGATTTGTTGAAAACATCACCTTACTGCATTAGCAAAGGTTGCATCTAAAGAAAAGCATAAAGCCAAAATTACTTTGCATCTAATGGTCTTCTCTGTAAGAACATGGCTGTAAAGATGATTCAAGCTAAAAAGTTTTGCAGATCTTTAACAATATCAAGTTTTTCATCTTGCAATAAATAAAGGTTGAATATAAAAAGTTTGCATCAAACATAAGAACAGTATCGCATAGATGGGCCACCAGTGCAGAGCTTGGTCAATATCTTCAACAGGTAGGTGGAAGTCAGATGATATATTTGTAAAATAAATAAAGGAAGCATCAATTTTTAGGATAGACTGAAATTTTGTGGGATGTAGTTTCTGGTCAACTGCTCAGTGTAATGTCTTTGTCAAATCCTTAGTTCTTGATTTAAAGTATTATCGGAATGATTTTGTATACCAATGTTTGTGGAGTGGGTTCTTGAATAAAAATTAAGTCTTAATTTGTTTTGTTTTTTCTAAAGCCAAGTCTGGTTCAAAGCGAAGGATTCTGGACTGCAAGAATATTCAGGAGAGCCAAGATACAGCAAGGGAGACCTTTTTTAAATAAACAATGTATGGATAATCCTTTATTTGTTTTTAAAAACAACCATTATTGTTGGTAACATTTAATTTTCCCTTTTCGAAAAAATTGTTATAAAACTATAAACCATATATCATTATTTTTTCAATTTGAAACCAAAACTGAGAAAAAAAACTTTTTTTAATTTTCAAATTTATTTCATAAATATAGAAACAGTTTTTTTTATTCAACATTTTCCTACTACTTTAAATATGAAGAAAATGGATAACAAGCCTATGAATAGAAGAGACACTAAGGTAAAGAACAGTCAGCAATAGCTTAAAGGATTTTATAGCCATACATCACCTTTATAGAGGCAGCTAATAAATAAGTGGCCAAATAAATATTCAGGTTTTTTTTAAACTGTTTCTAAACATAAAATTGTCATGAACATTATGTTGGGTAATGTAAATACAAGGATGTATAAAATAACTTTTTTTATTTAATCCAATATGAGAATAATTGGTACACTGAACTGTAAAAACCTAGAGCAGAACCGTGCTCTGGCTGCCCTGCTAAAAGGAAAAAAAAGTATTCTGACTTGGATTTCTAAAACAGGGATAACCTTTTCCATTCTGTGCCAATCAGAGCCAGCCTGTCTGATCAGAGCCAAAAGGAAAAACATCACACAGAGCACTTAGCTGTGCAAACAGGGGCATATTTAGCTGTGTACATGTTGGATGGCTGGGATGTCACAAACCTGTGGGAGTTTCATTTTCCTGAAAGCCTATACTACCAAGACTAATGAACATGCACTGGTGACACAGGTCAGCTGGGAAGAAACTCAAAATCAGACCCAGGAACCTCCTGCTGCAAGGCAACAGTGAAGTGGTCAATTTATTAAATTATTTTTACCAAAGGAAAAAAAAAACTGTCTTGTTAAGAGGGAGGTTGTACTGGTATTGATTGTTGTACCCGTTATTGTCAGGTTGTGTGGAGGTTTGAAGAGGGCCCAAATGCAGAGACTAAGGCTGAGATGATTTCTTTTACTTTTCCAAAGGGTGGCAACTGAGGCAAAAATAGCAAAACACAGAAAACCAGGAGAGGTCGAGGAAAACACACATGAGGACCTAAGAAATGATGAGGAACCAGCAAACAGTAACTGAAGAGGAGGGATATAAATGGGAGACTGAACAAAGACCAGATTAATCAGCAGATTGGGAGGTGTGGACAGAAGAATCAAGAAGGGAGCTAGGAGCAGACTGACACAAGAGGGTAAACAAAAATATATAAGCACTAAAATACAACCAGAAACAACTAGAATAACACAAAATGGAAATAAAACCAATGAAAACTAAAAGAAAAAACTTAAACAGAATGAAGACAATGACAGTACCCCCCACTTAAGGGCTGATACCAGATGCCCTGAAAAGTCCATAAACAACCCATCCAGGGTGGGTGGATGGGGGTTCAGAAGGAGGACAAGAAACAAAAACCAAAAAGGTAGCAAGAGCAGAACACAAGGCATCCACCAGACCCTCAGCGACAGGAACAGGACCTGAGGAGTCCACCAGACGCATAGCGAAAGGAGCAGGAACCGTGGAGTCAGCCATACCCTTGGCGAAAGGAGTTGAGGTGTCCACCTGAACGTGGATGGGCACAGAAGTGTTCTCTTTGACTAGAACTGGATCAGCTAAAATCTCAGTTCTGGCCGGCTGAGCAGACTCTGACTCAGTTCCCACTGACAGTGGGACAGAAGGCATGACTGATGCCACCGAACAGGGGGGATAAGTCCCACATAAGTCTCACAGAAGCGCCTCCTTGATATGAGGAGCTCCGACTGGAGGAGACGTGATCCAACTCGTGGGGGACAGCTGAGAGTCATAGAAGTAGTGGCAGAGATGACTGGCAACTGCTGGGTGTTTAGCCTGACTCGCAGGAGCGGCCGAGGTGAGGTCAGGCTGACTGACTGGGGAGTCAGTAGTGACGTCAGTTCGATGCACCAGAGCAGTTGTGGTGTCATCAGGCTGATTTTCGGGAGGAACAACGGAGGGTTTCTTTCCTAGGTGAGCACAGCGTTTGCACTGGGAGTGGTTTGTAGGCACAGAGGAGACTGTTGAGGGCAATGAGGAAGCGGGAGCAGTGGGTGCAGCAGACAAGGAGGACAAGCAGGTGAGTGGTGGTCTTAGTGGAGTTGGTTGATTAAGAAAGAGAGCGGCAGCTGCCTGTTGGTTCCACTGAATCTCCTCAAACGCTTCAGTTATTTCAAGAGCAAAAATAAATTATTCAGTTATTGGCTGGTTCCCACTGTAAGAGTGTGTATTACTCTATCCTTTTGTTGCATTGTGTAGAGTTACTGATAGAATGATTTACTTACAGTGAGAAGGTCTTGGGTTTGAATCCCAAGCCAGAGGTATTTCCATATGAAATTTGTTCTTTCTGAATACTGTTGCATCCTTTCTTTGATAAAAAACAAGTTTTGGAGGGATTCATCTCTCTAATTTACCTTAAGCTTTATGTTTGCATGTTAGTTTGTCCCTGAATCTGGGCTTCCATGTGAGGGGCCTTCCCTGCATTTTTCCAGTGAACACTGAAGGAGCACTAGTACTAGTGCAAGCCTACAATGAAAGCTTTGTAAAGAATTGGGGTGTATGAAAATTCTACAGTGGATCGTAATTGCTGCACTAATAATTCCCATTGTGCCGAACATCCTGATAGGAAAATTTGCAACCTCAGGATGAATGCAGAATCAATGCAAAATTGATACCTTTGAAAATGTAACTATCCAGTATTTTTGCAACTATTAGGTTTTTCAGTTTTATCTAGTAGCAACATTCAATTTGGCATTTCTAGGAGGAACCATTTGTGGTTCAGTGAATTGACATCTACCTTTTTTATATCTGCAGCAGCAGTGATATAATGAAAGACACTTATCACTGCAGATATGACTGCCAACCGAACTACCCCATTCAGCAGAGTTTCTGAAGTGTACATCATTTTCTTCCTTCATGAGATTTTCACTTACCTCTGAACTCTTTCCTCTTTTATTACCTGATGTATAACAGTGGAATAAGTTGTATAAGGTAGATGAGTAGGAAGGCACCAAGAAATGGGTCATACTTTTTTTGTGATTGAGACATCCCAGTGCCCAATTCTTCATACTGTATGAAGTATGCTCTATTGTTGCTCTTTCTGTGACACTGTTGATTAGTATACACTGCAACAGCTCTCCCTCTAGGCCTCATGAGATGCAGCAGAATGCTTTGATCAAAGGATTTGTGGGTATTTTTTTTTTAACCCAGCTGGAGAAAGTCAACCATATAATCTGTGGCTCTGTGGGAGGTAAACAGATAAACAAAATATCCAGTGTAAAATTCATGGCCCTTAGTAACAAAATCAATGCTTTTTAAACTATTGTAACTAAATATAGGTATGATTGTGTAAAATAATGGAAGATTAACACATTTTGAATACATTAATATATAACAATAATGAAATTAGATTTAAATTTTGGGTTTTTTTGTTTATGTGACATTGTATTTGGTAAGGAATCCACCTTATACTGCCAGTAAAATTATCTTTGTGTTGTTTTCTGAAGGTTTAGCTTTTTAATCCCAAATCATAATCATTCAGAGCTTTGTCAACACCCACATTTCAACATATCAATGTTGCAACGTTTTGATGTGATTAAAA